CTTGGCTGTGTTATTGGGCTGGTCTGTTGATCAAAACGTGTTTATGTTAAAATGACTTTAGCTGGATGCGTTTTTACTTATATGAACGGTGGAGATGTTACCAAGTGCAATCATCATAGCTCTTGGATGAAGGGCACTTCTGGAGACTTCTCTAATACACTAGGGTTTGAGATCCTTTGGACGATTCATTCTCTCATTACTCACTCTCTCGAACTCTCTCTGTAGACTCTTACGCCGTTCTTTCTTCTTGCACTATGAGAGTGATTCTCTTGTAAATCGAAGTGTAGTATAGCTTACTTACATATATTGAGTGACTTGTATTAAGGCTGATTTGTATCCTTGTGTGGATTCGGTTGTCGAATTGTGTGGGTTTCATTACTTTGAAGAAACCTTGAGTGGTTTTGTCTGAGTGCCTTTGTGTAATTCTGAGAGCCTTTGTGTAACGATGAACTGGCTTTGATCCTTGCTTTTATATGGAGACTTCTTCCGATTGGTGGAAGCTCAAAAGGGGAGTATGATTTATTCCGAACCTCTTGCCTTATGGTGAAAAATCCTTGTGTTCTTTTACTGTTTATTATTTTCTTGCACTTTACTTTTGTTGATTGTATGTTTTGTTAGCTGATCGGTGGCTTTTAATCTCTACAGTACATTTACAAGGCTAAGGTGAAGCAGCCTGGGCCTGTTTTAAGTCTTATTAATGGAGCAACAAGAGAGTCCAAGGGTTTCAGGGCACCAAGTTTTCTAGTGTTGCAGTGATTTCTACAAGAACTGGGAAGGTAGCATCAGATTTATTTGTGTAAAAAGGGCTCTATAAGTTAATTCTGCACTCGATTTGATTGCTGTGAATGATTTAATTTCAACACAACCTGAATCTAAGATTCTCATCTTCTGTCTCCTTAGAATTTTTTTTTCCCGAAATTTTTATTTCTTTACAGTAATATTCCTTAGCAGCGATTTTGTCTAGAATTTTAATGAGGCTATTTAAGGGTTCTACTTGCCTTTAGAACCGACAGCCCCGTTAAGTGTAATCAGTGGAATACCTAGGACCAAAATCCAGTGGGAGCAACTGCCTGACTAGACCCCAGGCGGCTACACCCCTGGGTTAGGGGCACATGTTGAGTGTGTTGCATTGAAAACTGAAATCCTAGGACTAAAGGGAATGGAAAGGGAAGAGAATAAGAAGATAGGTTCAAAGAGAAAGTTGAAGTCGGTTGAAATGACATTTGATTTGGATGATCAACGTTTTAATTAGTGTTGTCACTTTTTTTAAATTTTTGTCACCTTTTTAAGTGTTTGAAACTCTTTTGAATTGTCACTTTTTTAGTGTTTGTCACTTTTTTTATTGTCTGTCAATTTTTTAATCAGTATAACTTCTTTGAATTCGTGTCACTTTTTTTAGTTTTTTGTCACAGTTTAAGAAGATAAAAAAATGAAATAATATGTTATATTTTCCTAACATAATCAGCATGTGGATTGACCTGAACGTTATGATTATTTTAAGAACATGATTATTGGTGCTGCCCAAATGGACAGTGCTACTTTGGTATTTATCACTTTTTTTTAGTTTGTCACTTTTTTTAAAAAAAGTAAAAAAGTGACAATTTTTATAAAAAAAAAAAATGACATTATGTCACTTTTCCATTTTACACAGTATTTTTTACTTTCTAAAAAATTTTTATATGATTTTTCAAAACATCCATAATTTTAAGGGTATTTTTGTAAGTACCCCAACAATAAAGAAGACATTCGAAAGATTGGCTCATGCCAAGTTTAAATAGGGAAAAATTCATAGATCAGGTATTATTTATCATGAAATCAAAAATCAGGCCCCAACTTTTAGAATTGCAAAAATCAGGTTTTTTGGTTTTTTTTTTCATGAATTAATTAATTATAATTTACAATTATTATATTAAATGAAATATTTAACTGTAATATAATATAATTAACCCACACTATCCACCTCCACCACCCATACTGTTCCGGTGACTGCTTCGTCGACTACTCCGGCGACTGTTCTCCGGGAGCGCTTAATTTCAACGACTATTCCAGTGACAGTTCGCCGCCGCTTAATTCCGGTAACTGCTCCGATTTCGAGGTCATAGATATCTTATTAAGTTGTAAAAAATTTAATTTTCGGTCACAACTTATCAAATTAATTGATCACAGATGATTTCTAGGTCACAAATGAAAAAAATTATAGGTCACAGATTTTTAATTGGTCACAAGTTAAGAAAATTTGTTGGTCACATATTATATTTTGAGTCACAGAATAACAAATTTTAAATTCACGGTTAAATATTTAGTCACAGAGAACTATATAGTTGGTCACATACACCCAAATATGTGTCCCCCAATCCCACTACACCACCAATACTTGGTCACAGATCGATATAGTTGGTCACATACACCCAAACACCCGTCCCCCAATCCCACTACACTACCAATACTTGGTCACAGATCGATATAGTTGGTCATATACACCCAAACACCCGTCCCACAATCTCACTACACCACCAATATTTGGTCACAGATCGATATAGTTGGCCACATACACCCAAACACCCGTCCCCCAATCCCAAAACACCACCAATACTTGGTCACAGATCGACCAAATAGTTGGTCACAGAAACTCTTCGTCCTATCTGCCCGTCGCCGCCACCTCCATCGCCCCGACCACCGACCAACAATAACACCAACGACAACCAACCACCAACAACAGCCACACACACAGAGATCCACCCGCCACAACCACACATACAGAGATCCGCCACACCACAACCGAGAAACCACCGTAAAATCACAACCAAATAAATCGCTGCACCACCACCGCAACAACCACGCAACCTCCACCACCTCGACAACCATCTCTATTTCTAT